TTTCCCTTCTCGATTTCTGCAAAACACTGGAAGCTCGCATTCCTTAAAAGATTCTTACATTTCTTGTGCATGCAACGGAATAAAAAAAAGTTATTCTCATCAGAGACATTTATTCATGCATGGATGACGAAAGAACAAGAAGTAAAAAATGTTTTACTACTTTTTGATATATTTTTTTTCTGTGTGCATCCACGATGCTCTCTTGTTTATTAACTTTTCACGTTAAACGATGCAAACATGCACTTTTATGTGACTTTTGAGGGATGTCTTTACTCTCGAATGCAACATAAATTTAATTAGAATCTCGAATGAAATCATTTGAGAATGGATTTTATGTCATTTTAAATGGTTTTTTTGTGAGGATGGGAATGTTTTGGATTAGGGGTTGTTTACGAATGATGTCTCTATCAAAGGTTATAAACAGAAACGTGATCAGATGCTTTATTTGCGTTTTTCAATTTATTAAGTATCAAAGAAACTGTTTTAATATTTTGTAAGCAAAATTCTTATAAAAAATCTTCTTTCCTCAAGCTAGGCCACAGCTTTAACAACCCCAAAAAATCAAAATTCTTTTAAATTTTGCAAAAAACCTTAATTATTTCCCACAATAAAAAAAATCATCATGACATGAAAATGTCATCAATCTTATAAAAAAAGTTGAACCATCAACAAGCTTGTAAATATTTAAATAGCCACAAAAAAAAGGTTTTTCCAGGAAGGCATAAGAAGGAATAATCGAGCAATTGACATAGACAGAGAGACGATAGCACAAAAAAATATAAATTGTTGGGTTAGAAAATCCACAAGATTTTACATGTTTTCTTTTTCAATATGTAGAACATTGTACATGTCTATGTTTCCTTTCCAAAGAAATATTTATTTATACCGAAATAGAAAATAATTCTTAAATTGAATACGTCAGTTTTCATTCAATCAACATTCAACATGGGACGAATAAAATGGAGAAGAAATTTTTTTTGTGGATTTTATGGGTCAATTTGGATATTCAAGCCGTATCTTATTTATTTGGCTTATTTTAAAGCTTTACTTCAAGTAATGTCGTCACCTTTGAAGCTTAGCTTTGGTATAAAGTTATAAAGCAGTCGCTTTAAAGCTTAAAGTTAAAGGCTTAAAGCTTAGCTTTAATCTTGAATCGTTACTTCAAAGCTTTCCTTTGAGATAAATTCGTCACATTAAAGCTTAGATTTGAGTAAAGTCATCGACTTGAAACTTTGTTTTGCAATAAAAATCATTGCATTATAGCTTGATTTTGAAATTATGTCATTGCTTGAAAGCTTTGCTTTACGATGAAGTCGTTGCATTAAAGCTTAGCTTTGAGTTAAAGTCGTTGCACTAAAGCTTAGCTTTGAGATAAAATCGTTGCCTTAAAGTGTAGCATTGAGATAAAGTCGTTGCATTAAAGCTTAGCTTTGAGATAAAGTCATCTATTTAAAGCTTTGCTTGGCAATAAAATCGTTGCAGTAGAACTTAGTTTTTAAAAAAAGTCGACGCTCTATATTTATGCTTTATGATAAAGTCGTTATCTTAAAGCTTAGCTTTGAGTAAAGTGATTGATTTGAAGCTTTGCTTGGCAATAAAGTCGTCACTTTTAATCTTTGTTTTGAGATAAAGTCATCGCTTTAAAGCTTGGCTTCTGATAAAAAATCGTCGCTTCAAAGCTTGGTCTTTGAGATAAAGTTCTTGCATTAAAGCTCAGCTTTGAGATAAAGTCATCGATTTATAGCTTGACTTTGAGATAAGGTCGTTACTAAAAACCTTTAATTTATAGTAAAGTCGTAGCTTTAAAACTTTACTTTAAATTCAAAACAACATCAAATTGCATAAACTGACGGCGCGAATACAGAAAGACTTCAACTCCATAAATCCCAGATAAAGAATTTAAAAAATCTTTAAATTTGCTCAAATTAGAAGAGAATGTCTGTATCCATCCGACTCTCATGTATGTGTGTGTGGTCAAAAGGAACAATGAATTTAATGTACATGAATCTGAAATTGACAATTTTTTATACAAGCATCAGGAAGGATACAGAATGAAGAGATAAATGAAAAAATACTAGAATTTCCCACATGGACAAATGTGATACAATTTAATTCCTTTTTTTTCTTGTCTCTTTCTTTCTTAATTTCATTCCATTTGTCTCCATTGCATGTGGCTGGGAATTAATTTGAGATGAATTTAAACAAAATCATGGCACTATAGTCATGTCGTTGTTACAATTGAAGTGGTTTTGATTGAATAGATGAAAATAAATCTAGATATGTGTCATGTTGTAAAGGAAGGAGTCAACTTTACATGATCTGCAAAATTGTAAAAATTTTCTCATCAAAAAATTTCAATTTATTTTCATTACGACAGACATTGATTAATAATCTAAATAAATAGAGCAGAAGTCGATGTAAAATATATTTTTGTGTGACGTTCAGACATCTGCAAATATTTAACAAATCGAATGTTTTTCCTTCCTTCTGCTCTCATTTCCATCAATAAAGTTGTTTAAATTGCGGTCAATAGTTTGCTCGAATTGACTTCATTTGACGATTTTTCTCTTCAGTTTCTCGTGTATTTCGCTCGATTTACTTTATCGTCATCGTTTGAGTTTTGCAAATATTAAGAAATTCTGTTTTGTGCATTATTATTTTTGGAAACTGTTGGTGTTGTGCAGATGGCTGGCACGCAGGCACGGAGCAAGAAGGGTCTTGCAACCCCCCCCCCCCCCCCCTCACTTAACGTTTTGAGTTTTGTTCTCGCTGTGGTTCAAAATGCTTATGATACGTTCCTTTAATATGGAAACCATTAGTAAGTTCTAAACATACCCTAAACCCTTTATAACATCAATTCTGGAACCCAAAGGACATCCAATAAACGCAAGACTCCAAAATTCCTGATTTTAACACAATAATTCTCCAAAAATACATTTTAATCTCCTCTTAAACCTCAATCAACCTCCCCCAACTTGTAATTTATTCATTCTCAAAAAACGTTCATTTTCCTGCTTCTTATTTAGAATAATTTAATTTTTTTTCTATTTCTCAATTCTGAAACTAGATTGAAAATTCAATTTCCATAACTTCCGTTCAAAAGTTTAACTACCGTTTCGTAAAAAGTCACTCTGTGACATTTTCAATAAAAACTTGTGTCATCAGTGGCTAATTCTCCTTCAACTTCTTCGACTTGAATTTCCTCTCATTTACTTTCTTCAGATTAAATGTTCCGTAAATTTCTTCATCTTAATAGATACATGTGACTTAATGTATTTAAATTCATGGCAACTCATCGCATAGTCTATTCCTTCCGCATCAACTTTTTCTCTAACTTCTTCACTTCTTTTTTTGTTGGATACCCGAAGAAGTTTATCTTTTGGTATTCAAAAAGAGGGAAAGACACCACAATGCATTCGGTTGGGAGAGACTGAAGCATACGAAAATTGGGACATCTACAGCTTGCCGTCGGGCAATAATTTCTTTGTTGTACAAGATTCTTTACTGAAAAGTTTTAAACATGAGAATGTCTTTTTTTTTGCATCAAATATTTCTTTCATTAATTGCAAAGTTTTTTTTAGTCGATTGAGGATCGTGAACAGGATTTTTTTGGTTTTATAAGGTGCAGATTGTCTTTTGCTGCTGTTTTATATTTTATTAAAAATTTATTTAAGCTGGATTCTTTCAGATTACTTAATGGATCTCCCAGAACTTAGATATCTAATGTGATCTTGTACTTTTGTGGAACCTAAGTTAATCAAGTTAAAGTATCAGTGTGTAACCAGGGCTACACTAAACTGTGACTAGTGACTGATGACTAGTGACTAGTGACTAATGACAAGTGACTAGTGACTAGTGACTAGTGACTAGTGACTAGTGACTGTGACTATGACTGGTGACTGTGACTGTTTTGGTTGCCTCAAGTAGCTCTTAAACCAACCTATTCTCTGCCTCTTCAACCTTGTATCCACAAATTCCAGAAAAAGTCTTTCACTTCCATACTCAAAGATGTACAGGAGAAGCACAAAAGATGGATCTAAAATTCTTCTTTCTTTGATAAAAACTTTATGAATGAAATTTCTTCTTGTGGTCATTGTGGGATTATCTTTTTGAATGAAAAACTTGCAACTTCTTAATTTTCATATTTCTTCTACGTTTGGAAAAAAGTTTAATTATTTTATTAGGACTTACAACTTTATCTTAAGTTGCTTTATGTGAATTGATATTCTTCAGTGACTTTATTTTCTTTAAATCAGTGATGTTTAGGGTTACCATCTAGTTTTCATGAAAATACAGGACATTTGGTAAATTTTTTCGAAAAAAAACAGGACATAGAGTAAAATTCGAAAATTAACGGAAATTTTCATGAAAAAAAATACAGGACCAGGAACAAAATTTAAAAATTTATACAGGACAGGGTTTTGAAATACAGGACTGTCCGTTGTAAAACTACGCAGATGGTCACCCCACTGATGTTCAATCTTTTTTTGTGCCACGGCACACTTTGTTGTAAGCCATGACCAAAACCGCATACATTAAAAGGTTATTGGCATATTGCACAAATTTTTGCTAATGTGCCACGACACACGGGTTGACCATCACTGGTTCAAATTCATTAAATCAGCTTAATTTAATCAAGAAAACCTTAAAATCTTCATAAATGCAACAACTTTTATTTTCAATTTTATTCAATTCGATTTTTAATAAATTGATCATAACCTTGATTAAACGTTTCTAAGCACGATGCATCCACGCTACAGCTTTTGAGATACACCAAAATCAATTTTGATATTTATTTCTCATCACACTTGACTTTTTTCTTTCGACACTTAAGTTTTTATTTATCTTTTTGTCAAAAACGTGTTTGTCGTGAAGTCTAATTTGAGAAGTATTTTGATAAATCACGTTTTGATCATTTTTATCAGTTACCAAGCATTTTGACGAAAACAAAATTTATATTTTTCTTTTTTTCATTTTTATTTTATTAAGTTTTCATTTTAATTAATCCACAACATATCTTTCGTTAGATTTTTGTGGTCGTTTAAATATTCGAGATTCTTTCATTTACATAGTTTTTGTAAATCCTTCAACAGCTTCTTCTAAGACAACAACCAAAATTATTCAATCCTTTGATATTTGATTCTTTGTCTCCTGATCGATTAACTTTCAAGAAATATTTTTCTGAAATCATTTCAATACTTTCTGGTATCTTCTTGAGGATTTCTTTCACTGACAACTTCATAATATGTCGGTGGATCTTGAGATTTGAGTACTTCTTCATATGACGGAGGCTTGTCAATTGTATTTATTGTAGTTGGTGATGAACTTATTGTAAAAATGTTTGTTTGATTTCTCACTGGAAATTAAAAAAATTAAAAATCACATTTTCGATTCAAAAAAATTTAAATTTTGAGAATTTAGAGTTAAAAGTCTTAAATTTGATTGAAAATAAATTTTAATAAAATTAATAAATTAAAATTTGAGCCAATTTATTTTAAAACTCACAATCTTCACCTATCATATTCCGCCTTCTTTTAAAATAAAGCCTCACAAACACAAAAATAGTCACAATAAAAAAGAATCCATAAGAGCAATACAAAATCATCATGTCAACTTCATCCATTTTTGTCTATTTTATAATTTCTCAAATATTCTTTCAGATTTAATAATTAAATTCAATTGAAGCTTTAAATTTCAAATTTATTCTAAATTTATCACATTCACTTCTGTCTTTCTCGGCACTTAATGAACAACTGATTATTATTTGTCTGATTAATACACGCTTTATTTATTAAAAACAAATGATAAATGTCATCATCAAGTGAAGCTAAAAGGGAAAGCTTTTTATCGCGTCTGATAAGGAAATTTATCTAGTGCAATTGTAAATCAAAGCATTATTATGAAATAATAATTTTACAGTCTTGTTGATTGTCTGGATTTTCTCTCTTGAGTTCCTATTCTTGAACTTGAGAATTGATGCAGAAAGTTTCTGTAAGTAGAAAAGTTTCTTAAACTTCAAAGTTGTTTTATTATCTGTTTTTAATTAGACTTTTAACTACTTATCAGTTGGAATTAATCCTTGAAAAAATCAGGGAAGTTGTTGCCATGTTGCTATGTTACTAAGTAAAGGATTATGAATTTTTGGGTAATAAAAGTTTTCATGTTTGACAGTTTGGAGGCTGGGTTTAGTCAAACAGGAATTGTTCGATTGTTTAGTAAAAAAATATGAAAGTTCAAATTTAACATTTTTGATCCCAAAAATAAAATTATTTGGTCATTATCTACTTCCTAGGTTTGCTTTATAGAATAAACGAATAGCACAGTCACTTAACCGAATAGAAATTCGGTAACAAACCATTGTGGATTCCAGAACAATCCCAGAGTCATGTTGGTTTGATATCAAATTTCTATTCTATTAACCGACTTGTGCTATTTGAGTTATAAAACTTACATGAGTATGAGAAAATGCGTTTAATCACTTGAAACTGTTACATTGATAATGTTTATACTTGTTTAATAAACTTGGGATTCGAACCCATATTGTTCAGGTAAAAAACGATCAATCAATCAATCGATCATCCACTTGAGTCGTTGATATTGATTATATTTGTCTGAAGTGCTTTGGCTAAACCTACCTTTATATAATATGATATTTTTTTATATTGTATAGAAGTTACATTGTAAGCAATATGCCTTCCATGCCACGGACATGTCAAAATTGTAATTATTTTAATGCAAAACATTGCTAATAGGTAGGGTGACCAAACATTTCTTCAAAAAAAAAGAGGATCTGAAAGTAAAATAGAGGAAATCCCACGTGTTTTATTCTCACAATTTTATTCGTTTTTTACGCGTATGAGAATAAAACAAAACTATTTGATTTTTGAAAAATAAAAAAAATATAGGACTGTCCTCTGAGAAACCAAGCAGATGTTCAGCCTTTTAATAGCAAAAATAATAATGTTTTTTAAAATTAACATGAGAGCATCGAACTCAATCTTTATAGACCTGATCAAATATTCCACAAAACTATTATAAAAGCTGATGAAATAATTATTAATAATTTTTACTTTGACTATCAATTGACATCAAGTGGTCTTTATAGAAGTACAATAATTTTTCTATTGTCATATTAAATTCGCAATTTGTTCACTTTGTTAAGCGGCAGAAAACGTGAGTCAACAAGTTTATAATGAATGATAATATCACGTCATATTGTTCGAGGAGATTCCGGTTAAAAGTTGTTTAATGTAAAGTTTGACTTAACGGTTCTTGTTGTATTATTATTACTTTCCCGACTTACTTTGTTTGATTTTAGGAGCAATAGTCAAAATGTACCCCCCCCCCCCTCCCCCCCAATATCATAAAAATGATCAGCTACGCCTTTGGTCCCAACAATATCTTTATAATTTGTGTTACACGAACTTGTTTATTAGTTCCTGCTGTTTTTGTTCTGATAACTGTCAAGTTTATTTATTTAATACACAAAATATTTTATCGTCAAAATTTGACAACACTTCTGCGTAATTTAAGGTGATCTTTATTGCTGCAATTGAGGTTTTGTTATCAATATTGGCAGTTTTATTGTCATTATAAAGACATAAAAATTGTCAATTAATGAAAAATTTGCTGCAAAAAGTTAATTTTTGTGTTAGTAGATTTTTGAGATCGACAGAGTAATGAGAGAATTAAGTTCTGACTTAAAACTAAGAAATTTTGAAAGTTCAAAAATGAAAAAAATTAAATAAATTCAAATTGCATTCAAAAATAAATTAAATTTTTTAAAACTAAAACATTTCATTCATCAGAAAGCTTCACAATCATCACTAAATCTTCTTTAAACATAAACAAAATCATCAACAAGAACAACAATCCTTTTATTTATTTTCATTGAAAAAATCCTTTTCCTTACAGCTTTTAAAGACAACAAATCATTTCTTTCGAATTTTCATTAATTTATCAATTTTCTGTATCAATGTCCTTGAAATAAATTGGAATTGTTCTTGTCAACAATAAATAAAATCTATAAATTTCTAGATTTGTTGTTTTGAAGATAAGTTTTGTTTTGTTTTTGCGCAATTTCGCTTTGTTTTAGCAGTGATAAGAATTTCAGAATTATTTGCTCAGGATACCCAAATTGACATTCATTTGAAAGTTGATATGGAATCTCTTTTGCATCATTAAGGCTAATGACGTAATTCTCAACATTTTCCAAGAACAACAAACAAAACAATCAAATCTAGAACTAAGAATTATTCATAAAACGTCCATGCAGCGACTTTAAACTTTGTTCAAACGTTGTTATCACAAGTTATCTTCAAAAGAAAGACAAAACAATTAAAAGACATTTTCTTCTATTTTTAAACCTAAATTCTCAGTAAGTTGCTTATCTAAAAAACAGTTTTAAAATGCGATGTTAATATTCTATTGTAGCAATTAAAGACTTAAGATTCACCTGACAGATGACTTCTCTTTGTGTTTTATGATTTACTTGACTTGGGATTAAGATTATTATTATTATTATTATTATTATTTTTATTCAATTATTATTTTCAAGAAGGAAAAGCCACCTGAAAAGTATTTAAACTATTTCAAGCGGCATAAAAACCTTCATTACTCATTACTTAACATTTAAAAGAATTAATATAAGTTCAATGATATAAAAGAATATCGATAAAGAACTTAATACTAACGGATACATTATTTAAAGCTTTAACGGTTTTATCATATTTGAAATTTGGTGTACTAGAGAAGTGATTGTGTCTCTGCTATAGTTTTCTAATGTTATGTAACGTTGCTAAAATATTCAAAATTGTAAACAAAACTTTAACGAAACTTTAACGAAAATATTGAGATCATCAGTTTAAAGTTAAATAAATAAATTTGGCATAACTGCTGATATGAATTAACTTATTGGACTTCTAACGACAACATAAGAACAGGTAAGGAACATCCAATTGTAAGAGCTAATTTTGCGAACTATTTTTAATTCCAGGTATGAATTCATCCAAATGTCTTCAAATAGTCATTGCTAAAGCAGCTGGACAGGAATTCCTCACTTGCCACGAATCGCCTAACTTGATTCTTGAATGAATGGATGTGGACAGCTTTTCTGATTGCTATTGGTAAGTAGTTGTAAATGTTGACTCCAAAGTGGTGAATATCCTTTCTACCAAAATTATTTTTTGCAGTTGTCGATCTAAGATTCATTTGATTACGCTTTCCTTGGTTCCTTTCAAAATTAATGTTGCTGTGGATAGATTTGTTCCTGCATGAATAGATGAAGCTCGCTGTATTGAGGAAATTCATCGCTCGTACTGGTAGAATATTTTCGTGATTAACTTTCTTGAACATGTCGACTCTGTTATGCAGTCTATCAAATTTGTATATATTCCTTATCATTCTATTCTGAATTGTCTGGATTGGTTTTATGACTGTGTCACTAGCATTACCCCATATTGTCACCATGTAATTAATGTGGGCTGCAAAAAGTGAATGGTAGATTTTCTTTTTTGCAGATAATGGAAGAACGTTCTTTAGCTTCCATATTACACCTGCCGCTGCTGCCAGTTTTTTCTCAACTTGGGTTCCATGAATGTCCCATTTTAAATGAGGATCTAGGTAAAGACCAAGATATTTCATTGACATTATTCTTGCAATCGTGTAGTCTTCATCAATTTTTATTAAATTTGGCTGGTCACATTTGATAAAAGGTGAATGGAAAATCATGAAGTTAGTCTTTTTAATGTTAATTATCATTCTTTGATGCTGTAAAAATTTGAGAATAAGCTTCATATCACTTTTAATTACATTGGTGACGTCTTCTTTTGGTGTGTGTTCATTTATCAATGCCAGGTCGTCAGCATAGAGAATGATTTTTCCTTTGAGTCCCACGAGTTTTGTCACTTCATTGAAGAAAATGTTGAATAGAAGGCTTCCTAGAATACTTCCTTGGACAACACCATAAATCACTTCAAGAGCCTGACTGATTTTATCTCCAATTTTTACTACTTGCAGTCTTCGATTTAAATAGCTTTCAAGTATTTGTGCGATTTTTCCTCTTAGACCGATCAGATCAAGCATTCCCATTAAAATTTTCCTATCGACAAGGTCGAAAGCCTTCTTAATATCTAGAAATACAATTGATGATATTTTCTTTTTATCCATCGTCTTTCTTATGGCACTCACAATTTCAATTGCGGCAGTTTCTGTGTTGCTCTTGGGACGAAAACCAAATTGATTACTGGATAAGAGCTTGAATTTGAGTATGTATTTCATGATGCGATTATATAGAAATTTTTCAATTACTTTATTAAATGTAGATAGAACAGATATTGGACGTAGATCATTTAAATCACTGTAGCTACCCGTTTTACTTATCGGTGTTACCGTTGCAATCTTGAATGATTCTGGAAATTTCCCTTTTTTAATAATTGCATTTATTAGGTGACATAGTACTGGGCATAGCTCATTACTTAGGTTTTTAACGTCCATTGGTGATATGCCATCATAACCAGCAGATGAATTCTTCAGGTTTTTGATTAATTCTGCAACTTCCTTTTCATCAGTTTCTTCTAAAACGAAAGTATGTGACACGGATTGAAATTGCATACTTGATGCTTTTACTTTTTGGTCGTTTACTGTATCCGAGACACTTTTTATGAAGAAATCGTTGACTTTCTGTGCCATTGTGAATTCATCTGTTATTAATGATCCATCAACATTTATAAATTCAAGTTTAGATTTCTCCTTTCGTCCTAACATACCATTTAACCTTTTCCACATGCTTTTTGGGTCGCAATTTTGCATTTGTAGGTTTAGGTACTTTTTCTTTTCTTTATCGATTATTTTTTTTACTTTTGCTGATTCGCACTTTAGCATGCGCCGTAGGTTCGCTTTCATTCTCTTAGACCTTTTTAGTCTCCTTGTAATATTCAGCTTTCTCTTAAGAGCACTTAAGACTTTCCAATTGAACCATGGGCAGTGGAAGTTTTTGACTTTAAGTCTGATTTTTATTGTGACTGTATTATCTGCTAATGCCTTATTTGTTATATTAATTAGCGTATCCGCGATGCTATCTGGGTCGTCGTTTTTCAATATCATTAGCCTATCAATCGATTCCCTTAGCTGTTTACTTGCCTTAATGTAATTCGTTCGCTTTGAGCATTTCATTTGAGAGCATTGATTCAGTTTTTCATCACATACATTTGAAATGATTATATTGTGGTCTGAAAGATCGTTGTTAATCGTGAAATTTTGAATAGACGTTTCTTCGGAAAAATTACATGCAAAATGATCGATCACTCTCCCACTTATATTCCTTGTTTTAATGTCGTTAATTACTTTCAGATTAAATGATTCCAGTAGAGTTACGTATTCATTTGTTGTTCGGCAATTGTCCTTAACATTGATGTTAATGTCTCCACATAGAATTATCCGATCTTTTGAGTTTTTAATTTCATTTTCCACATCGATGAGAAAGGTTTTCATATTATTTTGAACAGGAGCTCTATAATAGGCAATAAATTTATATCCTTTGTTATTAATTTTTAAATTAATTGAAATTCTTTCGAAGCCAGTTGAGTGCATGTCAATTTTTAGCACTAACAGTCCTTTTTTGACATATACTATTAAACCACCTCCACTATTAGTAGCGTTCCGACAACAAACATATTTATTATATCCCTGAATGTTGTAGATTCCATGCGGAAAGGATTTTTTAAGCTTTGTTTCTCCCAGAATTATTATGTCAATTCCATCGCTAAGACCAGACATCAAATTTTTTAGTTTGTCAAACTTATTCGGATTGTTAAGACCTTGTATATTCAATTGTAAAATTATTAAGTTGTTGATGTTGTTCGTTGTTGTGTCTTTAAACTGTTTTATTGATTCATAATAATAATTGGAGCTTATAATGTGTGAGATTGTATAATACATGAAATATTTATTGATGATATTAAATGATTCTATTTAAATTCTCATAACATAACGTACCAAATCAATCCTACAAACAACAAAAAAGTTTCCTAATTAGATTCATCTATCCTGTAAATTGATTTCCATCAAAATAAACTTCTTGACCTACTTAACATTTTATTTTTGTAGCGGCAATTAACTTTTGTTTCTAATTTATTGAATTACTGAGTGATTACAACTCAAATGACACAATAGTGCCCACAAGAAGGGATGCGAATTAATGAAAATGGCATTATCATCATTAAAATTAATTAACTTAGATTAATGTCACTCAATTTTTGTTACATCACTTCATCCTCTCAAATATGATGCCACTTAAAACTTAGCAACTATTTCGAACTGCAGCTTTTTATGTTTATTTTCAATGCATCTGTATTTACAATATTGACTAGACGTGACACTCGATCCTCATTGTTCTCAAGTGGAGATACGAGAACATGACAAATATTAATTTTTTATCTCTTGTGTTCAAGATGAAGACAATTTTGAACTATCGGCACGTGGAGACCTGTTAAAGTTTTGTGACTTTTAATATTAGAAAGAATATGTTGGATATAAAATTTGATGATGTTGGTGCAATATTGAATTTTTTGAATGTGTTGCAGTTGAAGCTTAATTTCTACTTTTTAATTTGTAGAACTTACTAGTGAAGATTTCAAATTTTAGACCCCTCGATGCTGTGCAACCGGCAATTACAATTTTTATTGAAATGATCCTAATCTGAATTTTTCCCGATCAATACATGATTATTGGAATTTAAATTAATTTTAAAATCCAAATTTAATTTTAAATTAATTTTAAAATCCAAATTTAATTTTAAAATTCAAATAATTAAATTGCTCCTTGAATCAAAAATCTAGAAAAATTGAAAAAAGATAAAAAAAATAAAACTTATCTGAAACTAAGGACGAGTACCTTGGAAATCTTTAAAAACCAGCTCTAATTTAGAAAATTGATTACTTACTCTATTACCCTCTCAATCTTACCTTTTATCTTCATTAAAATCACAAATAATTAAAGCATTAGTAAAATGTCCTTCAACTGAAATTTGTTATCTCTAGTCACATGCTTCGAATAGCTTGCAATTAATTTTCACAAGCAAACATGTGATCAAATTACTAAATTGAATCGAATTAATCAATAATTGATAACATTGTTTGCGCTTGCTGATTATCAGATTGTAGCTGAAAATAATCAATTTACCCAATAAAAATAGATTTGACGCAAAATCGATTGTAAAAATATTGATGAAGTCCATTCCAATGAGTCACTAATGTTGTGAAGAAAACAAATTGACGTAGAGATTCGAAACTTTGAGCCATTTATTTTATCAAAGACGATAATTTGTACTTGACGATAAGAATTAGTCTATAAAAAGTTTATACTAAAGTGTTCCACTAATCAGTAAAGAATCATAAGTAAATCGAGTATTTTTTAAAAATAATTTTTTCAATTTTATGTCTGATACAATTTTATATTTTATTGCTTTTATTGTTACTTCATTTGTTATGGTATTAAAGTGCATAATAGTTGCACAAAAAAGGACTAATCGACAAGCTAGGCAATTGAGTAAGTCATCTCTTATTGAACATTGAATGGACATGACACACCCATTTCAAAGATTAAAGTCATCAATTATCAAAGGAATTATTTAACAATTAAACCTCTATTCTAGATACAACAAATCCAACCATTTCATCATCATACACTTATGACCCATCTACTCATTCCCCCCCATTCCCATCTACTCATGTTCATTCCCACACGCACAATGCAGTCACTCCGAGCGCACCACAAGCAATTTCAACAATTTACACAAGCGATTTCAGTAGACAAAATAATGAACTTCCAACATACACAGAAATTTTCATTGATGATCTTCCAGCATATCATCAAGTAGTCAATGAAACTGCAGTTCATTCAAGGAACTGAAACACACGATTATTGACTTTTAGAGACATGAAGAAAATTTTTGATAAGAATAATAACGTTAAGTGGATCTGACCGAATGATGAAGCCATCTCTATAAGTATGAAATACACGTCTATGATCAGACCAAATACTCACTTTTTGGTAAGACATGCACCTTTTGCAGGAAAAAAATCAAGGCATGTTTATTTTTTAGTCCAAAAGTCAATGGAAAGCTAACGATGAAGAGTACAAAAAAATCAATTTCCAAAAATAATCAAATTCTGAAGAGTCAGGCTCTCTATGACCTGCTCTAACTACGCTTCTGATAATGTTGTATCCAAAAACAATATAAAACGACTTAAAACATCAAAACTTTGTACAGTTTTTTAATCAGCGACGATAATTAATTTCTGAAGATAAGATTTCACATGTAATAAAGGAATTAAATTGATCAGCCTGTTCAGTAATTAATCATAAGTAAATCGAGTATTTTTAAAATAATTTCTATGTCTAATGCAATTGTCTATGTTGTTCTTGTCATTGCTACTTCGTTTGGTTTAGTAATAACACATTTTATTATTGCACTGAGAAGAGAAGCTAATCAGCGAGCTAGGCAGTTAAGTAAGTTGACTATTATTAAGCCTAAAATGTGTAAAAATGTTTTAAATTGAATAATATTTTAGGTCCAACAAATCCAACGATTTCATCATCATACACCTATGACACATCGACTCAAGTTCATTCCCAGCATAGCAATGCAATTAACCCAAGTGCATCTGCAGTTTCTACAATTTATTCAGGCAATTTTGCGAGACAAAACAATGAACTTCCTTCATATACTGAAATTTTCAATGATGATCTTCCAACATATCATCAAGTAGTTCACGAAAATACAAATAATACAAGGAACTGAATTACATTTTTGAAGACTTAGTGATCCCAAAACAACTTATTTCCTGTCAAATGCCACAAAAGACACCAAAAAAGCATCTTCAGTTTATACATTTTTTATCGCCAGTTCTTATTTTCACAATCAATTTTAATTTCATGAGAAAATTATCTTGCCACTACAGCTGAGCTCATGTTCCACGAACTCTTATCGGATTTCCGTTGGGTGTAAAAAAATAATGATTTTAATGAAAGACGACAAGTTTTCTTTTTTGGTCGTCTTCTTATCATCCAAAACATAAGAAAGAAGCAAAAACACGACCTGAAAAAGAAAAATTTGTGTTAAGCTGTCACAATCTCATCAATCAATATTGATTTTTCTGATGAAGCTTGGAGACAAGGATGGAATAAGAGGATTTTGTGTTTTCTTCTTTGTGAAATGAATGAGCTCATCAAGTGGTCTCTTTAATGGCTTGTGTAGGCTTAGATAAAATGTGTATTTTTACGTGGATTAGTTGGATTGTTGGTTTGTGGATGTTTAGAGGGAACTATAGCTTTATTCTTAATATTTGGAACTTTAAAAAGGCATTTAATGTTGGTTCAAACCAAATTCAATTCATAAAGAGGTATAATTGAATCAGGAAGCTCCGGAAATGCTTAACTCAAGCAAATTGAACAAACTTCTTATAAAACGATCCATCTGCTTTATATCCATTGAGTACATCTCCAACAAGCAACCTTAAAATCCATTACAACTATATAGTTCAGCTTAAACTCAAATCTAAAGCTCAACAAACCAAAAATCATCTCTATATCTCCATCAACTAAACTTTAGACACACATCTAACCACACAATGAACAATATGTTCCACAAAAAGTAATTCAAGATTTTGTATAACCACACGAATCATGATAATTGAGTACTCAATGCTTATTTGGGCTCTTCATCATCCACATAATGCTTGCCATTTATGGAACTTTAACAGCAGACATGAAGAAGAACTACAAGAACCCAAGTAAATGCGGTACACCGCATCAGCCGCAAGAGTCTTTAAAATCATAAAATGTCTCTTAATGTGAAAGTAATAAAATTTCTCTCACATTTCATTTTGGGTGTTGATGGAAGTTACGAATAAAAGGTCAGCACGACTAGGATGTGAAGTTTAAATTTAATTTATTAAGAGTTTATTATTAGTTGTCACTTAATTAAGTTTTGATTGAAGTTTTAGAGGAATTGGTGAGCTCTTTTTCCTCTTGACACCCCACAAATAAAAAATTCTAATAAAATTTCTCATAATTACTAAGAACTTTAATTCTTAGTCCATAAATCCAACTCAATAATTCTCATTTTTATGTCAAACTATTAAAACTTTAAATGTCAGATTTCAGAGATATAAAAAATCAAAGAGACATAAAATCTCAAATGACCAACAATAAATTAAGCTTAGTCGTGAAAATCTCAATTAAATTAAGAATATTTTTATATTTTCTAAAATTATATTTTTTCGAATATGAGAATTGGCAAGACTTGATGTTCCTGGAAGAGTGCCAATCATGTAAATTGAAAGTCGAGTGACTGAAAATATTATTCAACCTTCTAGGAAAGTGTTGGCGTATTTTGAAAAATATTTATTGAAAATATTTGAAAATTTCTTTCAAACTTTTGTAATTGCATGATTGATGCTCAATTGCTTTATGGAAATTATTTGAAGATATTTTCAATACCTGAAGTTAGTTTTAAAGTTTTACTTCTCACATTATTAAATCACAAACAATAAAACTTTCACGTTTCATTAAACGAAATTTGAATCCAAAAGTTATTACTTTTTTGTGGATGATTAAGCCTTGCATGTTAGGTTTGAAATTTGAGATAAAGAAAATTGTATGTCTTCATTAATTTATTGATTTTTAACTTCCTTGCGTGAATCATGCTGTAAAACCTAGCTAGTTGCATTTGAAAAATAATTTGTCAAAAATTTTCAGTTCCAAATTAATTTCCTCGTTCTAAAAAGCACTAAGGATTACAAAATATTTCCAACAAAAAGCTCATTCAACAATTTTTAATTCAACAATCACAGTCATTAAATGAAAGTTTTTAATCTCTCTCCAGCGGTACCTCTTTACATTTTAGTCATTCAAGAAAAACTTTTCATATTTTTCCCTCATTGCTTCTCCATCTCATTCAGTCATTAATGAGTTTCAAGCACATTCATCTTCGTTCAACGAGCGAATAAGAGGAGCTAGAACAAAAAGTTTTTTTTTGAATGAAATGATTTTTTTTTTCATTGTTTTAAAATTATTTTAATTTTTGAGATGATAAAATGAATGGAAAATGCAGCAACAATAATGATTATGACAGTATGCATTAACACAAAGTTGAGAAAATAATTATTATGGACTGTTGGGTAGATTTTATGATTATTTTACATCTTGTATGAATTATTCAGATATTAGTTTTGTAATTTTCACAAAATTTCATATAATTGACAATGAAAGTAGTTTGAATAATGGTTTTTTGGGTCGAATTAAATTTTTGGAATATTTAACGTGAGGATTGAAGCTTTTTAAGGAATCTAATGAGATTATAGGGAAGCTAATGACACTCTTGAGGGATAAAAAAGATTCACTAGAGTCAAAAAAAGCTCAATAAGGTCGTATGAAGCTCACTAGGGTCGTTTAAATCTCAATAAGGTCAAACAAAGCTCACTAAGGTCAAACAAAGCTCACTAAGGTCGTATGAAGCTCACTAGGGATGAAAAAAGCTCATTAGGATTGAAACAAGCTAACAAGAGTCGAAAGAAGCTAAATAGGGCCGTATGAAGCTCACTAGGGTCGTTTGAATCTCAATAAGGTCAAGTAAAGCTCACTAAGGTCGTATGAGGCTCACTAGTGATGAAAAAAGTTCATTAGGGTTGAAAGAAGCTAGAAAGAGTCGAATGAAGCTAAATAGGGTCGCATGAAGCTCAATAGGGTCAAATCTAGCTCACTAGGGTCGTGTGAAGTTCAAAAAGAGCAAATAAAGCTAATTAGTGTCGAACGAAGCTCAACATGGTCGAATAAGGCTCCTCAAGTCTACGCAAAAGATGTTCAAACTTAAATACTGTACTCTAAAGTCCAATGGAGCTTTTGAATGTATTTTTATCCAAAAAATAAGAAATTTTATTCAAATTCAAATAATTCTATCCAAAAAAAAATCCATTTAAATTTAATCTAAATACATTTCCATTCATATTCATATCCAAGGCACCAATTCCATTCTATTTCTGTTTCTTTCCATAACTCCATACAGGGGCGTAGCCAGAAAATTTTTAAGGGGGGGGCCCATTTTCAAAAATTAAAAAAACGGTTATTTTGTATCCTTAAATCTATATTCATTCTTCATAAGTTTAAATATTTAATTCATTATTCATACATTAAATTTGATTATTCGAGCTGATTTTGACATTTCTTTCATCACTTCCTCTACATCAACTGGTTCTTCTCTATAAATACTTAATAAAACAACTATCAGATTTTCGTAGGGGGGGCCCGGGCCCCCTATGGCCCCCCCCTGGCTACGCCCCTGACTCCATAACAGGTAAGTAATATGTTTTTTTTTCGAGCAGGAAAAGAGCTTGCGGTAATCTAGAAAATTTATTGAATTTCATTATATTGATAGAAAATTTTTCATTCTTTTCTCAAAATAAAATCCTTTTTCACAACAATAAAGGCAGCAAAAGCAAAAAAAAAATCCTTTTCAATGTCAGAGCAAAAAGGATTCTTCAGTGACAACAACAACAATAAGCAACGATGAGGTTGTTGTGGAAATATTTCAAATAAAAGTAATTTTATATGCGCAAAAAAAAGCACATAAAATGATTTTTAAAAATATGCTGTAATAAAAGGAAATTTAATGAAAATTTTCAAAGGAAGTGAATTTATGAGATTTTTTTTTTTTTTGTAATTCAAAGGTAAGGGTTGAAGATGAGGGTAAATCTATTGTGAATTTGGTTTATGAAGATTTAAATTGGGATTTTTTAAATAATATTTATTTCGTGGGTTTAAATGGTTATTCACTTTTGGCAATATTTTAGGGTCATTTATAAATAACGGTCCGATTTTCACAAGCTTGATCTCAGAGCTTGAAGTCGTGGCGAGTTGACTCGATCCCTATCGACTTCGAGCTCTGCTTGAACTTATGGAAATGGTCCAAAATGATTGAATTACTGTCCGAACATTTAACAGTCATATGGACAACCATCAATACGTGACAATCGAGAACAAGTTCAAATTTGAAACTGTTCTAATCCAGCCACATTTTGACAAGTTCTCACGTAAAAATGTACATTACGCTCTATAAAAACAGCAACACATGTTGAAAATGATTTGAAAAAAAAGCAAACTGTTATTTCAATGCGATCCTCCCAAAAAGTCAACTAAGGTTGCCATTGACAATCTACCATCATTCTAATACACGAAAAAAATGTAACATAAAAATATCCTGTTACATTTATTCAAAATTCACCCTTCTGAGCTTCAAATTTCAAGAGGAAAAAATTTGTTTTTTGGCTTGATTGAAATATTCAACGCACGACATGTAGCACGACTGAAACAATGACAATAAAAAGGAGAAGAAAAATTCAAAAACGATTTGTTTCTGGAAAAATTGTCATCGACACAATAATAAAGAGCATTAGAATATTCAATAACAGTGAAATAGAAAATTTTCAAGTTGACAAAAATGATAAGGAGGAAAATGTTCATGGTCGAGAACATATGTGCACAGCTAATAAGCATTTGAATCTACTGGTAAAATAGCAACAGCGGCTTAATTGTATAGCGACGGCAATACGTTTGCCAAAGGTTCGATATGAGGTCAGATGACCAAAAATGATCAAAAATGATCAATATGTAATTTATCAATTCCGCATCCTTGGTACTGTTTTAGTAACAAAGTTTGGTTTGTGAAGTATGCAAGTCTTTGGCACAGAATTTGACTCTTATTGAAGCTCAAAAAGAAACTACTATCATTTGGGGCCTGTGTTT